TCAAAGTTTTGTTCTCATGGAGTTTTGTGCTTAAGTGTATTTAATTGCTTTGAAATGTGGAAGCCTAAGTCTTAAGAAATCACAATAGTTGTAAGTTACCGAGCTGCAAAGTTAGAAGGGGATAAACTAGTTTAAACCTTTCATTTTACAAACGAGGCAATTAAGACGCAGGCTGATATATGATTTGCCAAGGGTTACATTGCTAATCAGTAGCTAGGCCAGGACTAGAATCCTGGGCCAACTCCCAGAACTCTAACGCCTTGTCCAATGCTTTCACCTAGTTGCAAAGCTGTCTACCTGGTCAGTCTTCTTCTCCGGAAGAACCTAAAGCTAGAGGGGCTGGGTAGAAAGGAATGAAAATGAAGTGGGAATAAAGCAACTGCAAATGTTTCCAATTAAAATGAAGACACAGCAGCCTTGTCTGTGTATTTACAGTTGAGTTTCCTGAACGTCAAGTACCAGGCAGTGGTTGGGATGGTGAGGTTTCCCAGAGCCCTGGAAGGCAGAAGTCTTCCGGAAGCTTTCTCTATGCCAGCTGCCACAAAAGAGAGCTGCCGAAGGCTGGGAACTCTGGTAGAAACTAAATAGCTCTCAGCCTCAAAGGTGCTGACACATCAACTAGGAGAATTGAGAAAGGATACAGGCTCTAAATTTCCCTGGAAAAACAGTAAAGTTTCTTTGCAGAGGAAATGTGGCAGGGAGAAGCCAAGCTATCAAGTAGAGGTTGTGACTCAGTTTGTAGGAAATAATTAAAATCTAGATGTGGATGCATCCTTGGCTTAAAAAATATCTTTCTCAGAAGTTGTCTGCTCCTTTCCTTACCTCCAGCTCCCGGATGATGACTTCCTTATCATCTATCTCTTCTCCTCTAGAAGGTAAACAGACAAAAGTAAGACAAGAAGAAAAGCTCTTGAGAGAGTAGACTCTACTAGGGCAAAAATGACACTTCCACTGAGCTAAAGAAACATGACATAAGAACTGTGTGTGCTGACCCAGTGCTCCTGGGAAAGAAGTGATCACCTAGGTGGTATGGTCTGAACATTGGTACAAGGCTGTACCAAAATGTCTTCTCCATTAACTCACCAAGACCTAAATTCCCACTGTGAAAGCTAATCATCTCGTTAGACTAATTGTATTCAAAGGCTGGTTTGGGGACCCTTAGGAGTCCTTAAGACTCTTTCAAGGGGTCTCCAAGGGTAAAACTATTTTCATAATAATACTGAAATAGTATTTGGCTTTTTCACTGGGTTAACATTTGTAACCATTAGTGCAAAGGCAATGGTGTGCAAAATTACTCGTGCCTTAGCACATATCCAGCCACTTACACTATGCTGTACTAGCAGTCATAGTAATCTTCACTGCCACAGAGGAAATAAAATCCAGTTTCATTTAATATCCTTGAGAAAACAGTAAAAAAATTAATTTTTATAAAATCTCAACCTGACTACATATCTTTTTAAGTGTTTTGTGATAAAACAGCAAGTATGCATAAAGCGCTTCTGCTGCACACCGAAATACGATGGGTAGGTATCTTGAGGAAACCCACCTGTGTGATGTTTAAGCTGCAAACTGAACTGCTTTTTTCAAGGAATGATATTGTATTTGAATGACCACCTGACAAAATATGGTTGTTATTCAGAGTCAGGAGTTTGACAGACACTTTTTCAAAAACGAATAAAGTGAGCATGTCAATTCAAGGAAAAAACTGACAGTATTTGTTGTCAATGATAAATTTTAGGCTTTCAAGTGAAAATATGAATTTTGGAAAACTTCTATCCAATATTGTGAGCTTGACAGCTTCCAAATACTTAAACACTTTTCTCATAGTATCAGTAGTGATATTAACAAATATTTTTTGATATTATGTAATGAAATGTGTCACTCTTTGGAGGATCTGTATGAGCCAGTGAACCAAAATTTTCTAAATGACCACTGAAACGCATCATGCTACAAAATCATCCTAGGTAAAACATTCAAAGAACAAGATAGACCAATGGATTTTATAACATAACAGAGTTTTAGAAAGTTCACTGATATACTTTCAGATTCTACATTGCAACTAACCTTTAAAAAAACTACTAGTTAAAAAAACCCAAACTAGTTGTCAAGTTTTATTGTAGGTTCGAAGAAGAATATCCACAATGATCTGAGAGGGCTGTTAATATTAATATATTCCTACACTTTCCAACTACAAATCTATGTGAACTGGATTTTTTTTTCATATAATTCAACCAGAAAATAATTCACAACAGATTTAATGCAGCAGCAGATACGTTAATCTAGCAGTCTTCTATTAACCAGACATTAATGAGATTTGTAGAAATGTAAAATGATACCAATCTTCTCATTACTTTTTTTGCTTTGGAAAATATATTTTTAATACAAACATGTTAAACCGTGCACAGTGGCTCATGCCTGTAATTCCAGCAACTTGGAAGGCTGAGGCGGGAGGATGG